TTCCATAAAACCAGGAAATTTGTCAATTTCATATTCACTTACAAGTATCCGACGCATGCAACCTTGGAAATTAACTGCACTTTCCTGAAATTGTTACGCAGATGTAAAATACACAGATGGGCAAGCTGCAGCTGTCAATCATTTATTGACTTTTGATCCTACTAATCCGACTAAGGTAATCTCGATTTAGCAAATTTCAGCTAACTACGGTGACGACCGAACAGTATGTGCTGAAAATGATGAAAGAACAACAAAGATTCCAGTTGAATTGTTTTAAAAGAAACTAAAAAACGGTAAATGGTTATATGGCAAATATCGATGATGACAATAATCAAAGTATTAGCTCCAGAAAGGAACCATAAAGTGTTTGATACAGTGCCAAAAATGTATGAAAAAAAAGAACTGGTAAGCTAATGATAGATATCGGTAGATTATCACTTGCAATTGATTGAATAAGCAAAGCGTACCGAATCCGTGTTGTAAGTTGGAGAGTTTGAATGGTTTTCTACTCCTCCAATATGTACTATTTGTTCGCCGGCAACAGCGAAACTGCTATAATTATATATTGTAAGGACATTTCATTTCTTGAGGTTTGACTTGTCTTTAACGGGAATGGCTATGGTTCAGCAAATCCGCGATGTTGAAACATCCGTTTTTAAGTCGGATTTTCGCAAAAACTATCTCAAGCACAAAAAAGGCATTACTAAATGGTCCTGGCCAAGAAATGCATTGCTTATGCCTCCAATTCATTCGTCGATACCCCTTACTTTCGGAAACTGTTTGTAAATAAGCTAAGTGATTTTGACTTTCCAGCACACATTAGAATTAATTTAGTAAGGAATCAGTGAACAAAGAGGTTTTATCATTTCTATTTCTAGCCATTCTCGCAAATGGAAATCCTTTTTGCAAGAGGTGGGCCACCAGGGAATCGAACCCCCTAAGTTAGTATCCATAAGCGACATGCTAACCACTGAACCACAGGCGCTTATGCTCAAGTATTTCTTTGGTGAATGCCGGTTTTTCACGGGACTTCCACGATAGTTATCAGCCTGAGAGCGCATTACTTACCAAGCCTAAAGGCGTACAAAATTTCATGTGAAAGAATTTGTAACTTACTCAAAATCACTCGCAATAGCTACGCAACGATTGTTTTTGCATTGTTCACAGAATCCAGCTTCGTCGCATTTTTCCACTGTCAGCTTCACCGCACGTCGCTTTGATCGTAAACGAATCATTTTCCAGGAACCATCATTCACTTTTTCTTCGACCGTTAGTTCCTTTTTCTTGCCTTTTGAACCCGCAATGAGATGCACTTGGCTATTCTTCAGCATCAACGAAAATAGATGGATTCCGGAATTGCCTATTGAAAACGAACTCAGCAACAAGGACGACTGAAAGCAATATCCGGTTACGTGTTGGGTAATGTGCCTCACTCACTGATACACACACATAAGAACTTTCTGCTTTAGCGGCTATCACAGAAACCATTGGCGTAGTAAGAAAGTTTGACGTAGGGACCTAAAGGGGAGGAGCGAAAAGGAAAAAAGGTAAAGTTAAGAGTAGTTCTCGGCTGCAAAAAATTATACGAAAAGCTAGAACTGAAGAAGAGCAACCTATGCTCAAAGGCAAAACGTATTACTGAGATTAGGTGAAAACGAGCGCAATATAACGTGTCAGCAGTTTTTCACGCTTTTTTTTTTGTTTGCTTATTAAATACTGCAAAATAAATTTTAGGTAGACTGTCATTCGGATGGAAAATTCCATTTGAACAATTGCAGTGATTTACATAGATAACATCTGAGCTCAGAACTGGATAAAATAGAGAATTTATAAGCAGTAAGGGTGAAGAGAAGGAACATCAGGATAAAAGAGAGGCCGATCAAAGTACGATAAGTAAGTTTAAACGTAGCTCTAATTGCACGAAATCTAAAAAAAACTCAGTAATCCCTTTTAAACATCCTAGATGTGACTCTGATTTTATGATTTATCTTGTAATTTGCTAAGCTAATTTGTAAAAATTGAATCCATTACCGGGTTCACAGTTCGAAATTCCAGGCTCAGACTCGTAATTTTTTGCTTATGCGGGAAATTTATCGAAGACGAATGACCATCAAAAGATCGAATTCTTAGCTGACATTGCTCACCACTGTAGCCATCATCGCACTTACATAAAATATCCTTTCCTTTTCCTGATTTGACACCATTCATACAGCTTCGGTTGCCACACATTCCCTATAATGAAGTAAAATATGTTGACAAGAAATAATACAACTGGCAAAAAGCTAAATAAATAAGTATAGATTAATAAATAAAAACACCAACGAATAAATGATTAAATGAATGCAAAAACAAAATTGAAAATGAAGTAGGGCTGTTGAAAAGTAACAAACAAATAAGTGGATGAACGACAATAAAGCAAAGAAGTATGCAAAGAAATAGCGGATAAGTAACGAAATAATCAAATAAACGGAACCAAAGTGATGTATAAGCGCGCAAGTAAAAAAAAAAACAAGCAAATCATGCATAAGACAAAAAAATCCAACTAAAAAGACAATCCACTTTCCGAACTCGATGGCTATCCAGACAGCAATATGGACCAAACGGTGCAAGAAGGTGCTATTATATCGCAACTGCTCCGTTATGTGCGTATATGTACTCTTCCAGAGGGTTGCCATGACTAGATTAGACGACTTATAAGTGTCTATGGGCATAAAAAGTTTGATATTGCCAAAATAGAACGCTGCTTTCT